AGTGCCATAGTGATAATATTACCAAACTAGTCATCTGGTAATCCGAGCCTCAAATGATTTGGGGCATGGGTTCAAATCTCACCTTGGCGGATAGTGAAATCTGAATTCAACAAAAATTTGGAATTAAAAATGCTAGCCTAATCGTGAGCATGTAACCAGTATCAATTGTAGTAAAAACCTTAGGGAAGTAAATCTGCTGTTCTAATCTAATCTGTGACTCCAGACCCACAGCAATGTAGCTTGGCAAGACACAGTTCCAGGGCAAAAAAGAGAAGTTGCTGCAAAAGCTCAGCAGGTCTGGCAGCATCTGTGAACAGAAATCAGAGTTAACATTTCAGGTCCGGTGACCCTTCCTCTGAACCTTTTCCAGCAACTTTTGTTTTTACTTCTAATTTACTACATCCACAGCTCTTTTGGTTTTTACTTAGTTCCAGGGCATTTGGCAATGAACAATAAATGTCACATATCAGAAGGAAATTAGGAAAGAACTATAAACATTCATGTGTTTACCAAAACAAAGTGCTAGACAGCTGGAAAATTTCAACCAATAAGTACTTCTTTCCAATCTAGGCTAATAAAAAAGAATTGTATACCCTCCCTGGCAGTAGGTATGATGGCGGGGTGTCATTTAATCAGCATTTAATCACATTGTGGCCTAGTGGTATTATTGATGGACTTCTAATCCAGACACCCGGATAACATTCTGGGGACCCGGGTTCGAATCCCGCCACGGCAGATGTTGGAATTTGAATTCAATAAAATATCTGGAATTAAGAATCTAATGATGACCATGAATCCATTGCCAATTGTCAGAAAAACCCACCTGGTTCATTAGTGTCCTTTAGGGAAGGAAACTGCCATCCTTACCTGATCTGGCCTATATGTGACTCCAGACCCACAGCAATGTGGTTGACTCTTAACTGTCCTCTGGGCAATTAGGGATGGGCAATAAATGCTGCCTAAGCCAGTGATGCCCTCATCCCATAATGAATAAAGGAGCAAAGGCAAGGAGACACTTCTGCTTCTAGACTAATTACATCTACATTGACAAAGCCAACAGAAGGCACTTACTGCCTAGTTGAGAGCCTGGAATTGTGAAGGGGAGCCTACTCTGAGCCACTCGACTGCCCTTGCTGACAATCACTCCTCCCTTGTGGCTCCCTCCCGTAACCTGCCAATCACCATCGGCTTGGGATTTTGCGATGACTCACTGTCTCAGGTGTGTCTTTAAAAAAAAAATGCTTGGGATGCGGATGTTGCTGGTTGGGCCAGTTTATTTCCCATCCCTAATTACCCTTGAAATCAGTGGCTTGCTGAGCCATTCAAAGAGGACAGTTATGAGAGAACCGCACTGCTGTGGGTCTGAAGTCATACATAGTCCAGAGCAAGTAATGACGGAAAGGATATTAATGAACCAGAAGGGTCGACATTATTCTAGCTTTTAATTTTAGCTTTTATTGAATTCAAATGTTGCCATCTGCCTTGGGGGTCCACTTTTCTAGAACATTAGCCTGGGAGTTCTGGGTTACAACTCCAGTGACCTTACCACTATGCCAATCCTTCTCCTCTTCATTCTGAAGGATGATCCTGACAGACATACATAATGCGGCTCAGCTGCTTCCTTCCTACATTTTGAGACCAAAAGCTTTGTCATCAATTAAAACCAAGAATCGTGCATTGAAAAAAATCAGTGCCAAAATAATGAGGTTATGCTGCAATCTCAGTGATAGGGGACTTCTCACGTCAGCAAGAGATGAGTGATCAATGAGAGTCTCAAAGTCCCCCTTTGAATAGGTTTCTAAATAAACCTTCTCAGTCACATTTCAGATTGAAGTATTGTTCATATATTCTAATAAATTTCATCAATACTTGCTCCTCAACTGCAAGTTTCCTGACTGAAATCAAGCTTACTACAGTTAGATAAAGAGTGTGCTGCCTACTCAGATTCTGCTGCATTTTTAAAGTATATTTTTAAAGCAACATTGATTTTAACCATATTAATATTCAGCATTAAAAAGGGCAAACTCAGTGTTGGGCAACTCTCCATTTGGAAAATCCAAGTCAAGCTCTGATAATTGGCCTTAGCTTCTATATCACCCTAACACGCGACCGGCCATTCATGGGAAGACCTCTGAACTAGCCTTCAGCAAAATGCCCCAAAGGTGGCTGTTGCCAGCAAAAAGGAGTGTTAATTAAGGGCTGCCTGATTTTGTTCTTGCCCTTAAATCAGGGAAAAAGCATTTTGTCTTTGGACTGCATTATGATGCTGTCACAGTTGAACAGTCTGCTGAATTTCAATAGTAAAGCTCACACATGACCACTAACATTGCCCAGTTGGGAATGGAGCCACTGACAAACCAGGATCATACCTCAATCCAAGTTTACAAATGCTGTACGTAATGCAATAAGTTTGCTCATGATTTACAACCATGTACATTTTTTGTGACAATAACACAATATGGACACGAATAAAAGAAAGACAGACCCTACCTAACAATTTAATGACATTTGGATGATCAAAATCTTTCATGCAAGCTGCTTCACTCAGGAACTCTTCAATCTCCCTTTGTGAGAAGTTGTCCACTAGAATAAAAACAGGATGATTTTATTTCCACAATCAAGTATCGTTTCTCTTTCAGAAGAGTTAGAATGATACTGTAAAAACAACAAAATACTTGGATTGAGTTCAATGTATAGAACAACAAATTACATGCAGCTGAGTTCAGTCAATTGTTCTGGAAACTTGGAATTAAACTTTGAATTATTTACAATTGCAATGTGAGCCATTCTTCGGGATGGTACTATGATAATACTGTATTGTCAGAGGTGCCACTCTTTGAAATGAGACAGTCAACTCTTTGTTAAATTATCCTGAATTGCAGTGCTCTCAGTATCTGAGCCAACACTCCACTTCAAGAACTGTGCAAAAAGTTGGTCATTCAGCACGTTCTGTAGCAACTCAATTGCACAAAATTACTGGTCTTCCACAGAGCAGTAGCAATTGAAGTTCAAAAGAGTTTCTTATGATTTTATGAGATTGATTCTTTGAAGAGGGAACTGTCCTGTAGGGAGAGATTGAACAGACTAGGCCTGTATAAAATATTCATAACTCTTAAGGGGGCTAAAGAACTTTTACCTTTGCTCAGGCATCAAGAAGTAGGCACCATTCTTTAAGAATTTTAGAATGAGAGGAGCACAAAATCTCTTTAAATCCTATCGTTTGGCTTCTGATCATATTCAACGTTGATCGCAGCAACAAGACCTTTGCAAATTTATTTTCTGATTACCACTAAGTTGGATGGGATATCCGAATTTGTTCTCTACACAGCATTCAACAGCATAAAAAATGTAATCCTTCTCATGGCCTCTCCTGCACACTCTAATTTTGTCAAACTGCCTTTGCATGCTGCACTCCCAGCTATCCCAATGCAGCTTCTCTTTCCACCTTGTACTCAGATTTTGTTTTTCAGTCCAGGTCCTCCACTCTTTTATTACTGATTCAATCCCTCTCTCTAGTCACTTAGATTGTGCAAAACTCTGGCATTTTTGGTTTGGCTGATAGTTATGTTTCAAATACCATATGCTTCACAGATACAACATCAGTAGCACTTGTCCCTACTATGCTCTTCATCACACGTAAACTCTTTATCATTCCTTTCCTGCCTGTAAGGTACTTTTCTTGTCCTCCTCCAACAAATCTTCGCTACCAATAACCAGTCCCACGCCAAACACTGCTCACTCAACAACCCCTTCCTTGCTGAACGACACTAGCTTCCTGAAAGAATTCAAAAAATTAGAAATCTACAATTATTTTGAAATCCTCTGCCATCCTGTTCTAATTTAGTGTTGTGACTCTCAAACTCATCTAAATTCTGTTCATTCCTCTGAATCTAATCTTTGACCATCACAAATCTTCTTCAGCAGTGAGGTTTTCCACACCTTCATGATGGCTCTGTTGTGGGATAACATGTACAGCTCAACTGCTACAATGGAGAAAGCCCCCAGTTAGCTTGGCCTCCATAAACTTCAATATTTTTCCTCTTTATCACCGTCGAAAGGCTTCTGAAATTCATGTTCTCAAACTGTTAACTATACCGACATTGCTCTGTGTCCATTCTTTTATATTTATATTTATTTTATATAATTTGTTTGGAACACTGTTGATGTTACAGCAAGAGAAACAGTATATATAAATGTAGGTTCATTCTTTATTTTGGATTAGATATGGCATCAGTGGTATCCTCACATTTCATGGTTTTAACAGCTACTTTCTGACTGGTACCATCAGCCTGTTGAACGTGTCCTTCCATTACAGAGCCAAATTCTCCTGTAAGAAAAAGGAAATTAAAGATCAGTTAGCTGTTGGGTTCCCACATCCAGAATTTAAAACAACTCTATGAAAGATTCTTGAGCTGGAGATACTGCCTTCAGATTGGCTTGCAGCAGGTCACACTGGTGTGCACCAAATCCCACATACTACAGGCACAACACATCACCTGTCATGCCAGTTTTCATGTTTCATTCAACTAATTAGATTTCAACTTTAGAAAGATTATATTAAGTAACTTAATTGGTTAGGCTATAAATTTGATGCAATACTTCTAATCCACAGTACCAACAAGGTCAGAGGGTAGAAATCCTGCAGTGAGTAAGTCACTTTCTGACTGACCAAAGCCTGTCTGTCATCTATAAGCCACAAGTCAGGTGTGTGATAGAAAATTCCCCATTTGCCTGGATGAAAGCTACTCCAACAAATCTTGAAAATACTTGAACTATCCAGGCAAAGCAGGTCACCACAACATTCACTTCCTCTATCACCGATACTCAACGGCATCTGCAAGGTACACTGCAGAAACCACCATCACTATCATCTATAATGACAAGGGCAGCAAATATAAAGGAACACCACCACCTGCAAGTTTCCTTCGAAGTCACTTGCCATCTTGACTTGAAAATATATCACCATTCTTTCAGTATCACTGGGTCAAAATCCTGGAACTTCTTCCCTAACAGCATTGTCAACATATCTACACCAAATGGACTTCAGCCTTTCAAGAAGGCAGCCCTCAAGATATTTTCCAATCAATCTGTTCAGAGAAATATGACACACCTCTGGAGCAGATAGGACTTGAACGCAGGCCCCCTGGCTCAGAGGTAGGGGCACTGTGTACCACAAGAGCTCTCCCAAGAAGGCAGGCCTCACATGCAACTAGAGATGGGCAATATAACTCTTCTGTTCATTAATGCCCTTTAGGGTTGGACTAACCTGATTTCCAGACTCTCAGAAATTTGATTGACTCTTAACTGCCCTCTGAAATGGGCTTGCAAATCAGTTAGTTCCACGGCATTTGGAGTCGGCAATAAATGCTGGCCCAGACAGCCATATCCACATCCCATGAATTTAAAAAAAACTAATTCTTGGTACAGAAGAGCGCTGTGGTTCTGCATTTTGATGGACTTACACGTCACAGATGGTACAGTTTATATGTGTCTTAGCCTACCCTGGCATGATTTCAAAGTTAGGAGATTTCTGTGCACGTCCAGAACAGTCAAACTAATTCAACTCTATTACCATACTTCCACACATATAATTCATCATGATTACTGATGAGCTGAATGGTCTCCTTCTGCATGATTCTTGGAAATGAGATAAAATTCATCAATGATCTATAAACTTACAAAATTCATCCTAGCAACACTTTTCCAATTAATTACACTATTAGTGATTAGGTTTCTACAGATCTTAAAACAGCAAATAAATGGATTTGGTTTTTAACTAGAAGGGAATAGGAAGCTAATACTGAGTTTTCTAATTTTAGCTAATCTTCCAACAGGTTGTGAGAGCTGCCAGAGGAAGTGGTGGAGGCTGGTACAATTACAACATTTAAAAGGCACCTGGATGGGTATATGAATCAGGAAATTTCAGAAGGGTATGGGCCAAATGCTGGCAAATGGGACGAAGTCAGATTGGGATGTCTGGTCGGCATGCACGAGTTGGACCAAAGGGTCTGTTTCTGTGCTGTGTGACTCTATGACTCTATAAGTTGTTTAAAACTTATTTCCATCCTATCAGCTTAATTATTTGAAGTATAATGGGATAAAAATATTACAATAAAACCATGGGTGTACAAGAATAGAAATTCTGGTTGATACAATATTACAACAATTACACAGAGCAGATTAATGCAGGTGTATATGTTATGAAGCTGACAATTTCTGGCATAAAGCAGAATAATGGTGCTAGGAAGATAGAAGTCAAATATCCAAGATAATGTGTGGAACTCTGGATGGCAGAGTCAGCTCACAGCATAGAATTCTGCCCTCAACCGTATGGGAGGCCTGGGTTTGCAAACATTAATTCAAGTCCTTACCTTCTCCCAGAACTTTACCCAGAGTCAATAGCTTCCTGTCAATCATTACATCCTGGAGCTTCTCTTTCAATTCTGCACGGATTCCCAAATTATCTACTGTGAGGAGAAATCATGGAAAATTAAAATCAATTAATTGAATCACAGTATTTCACAACACTGAAAGAGTTCTATGCTAGTGATGTGTTTTATGAGGCACCTAGTTGAACCGTGCTCTCCTATTCTGTTTAATAGCATCAAAATCACACACCATAATCCATTTCAGAAATTCTGACAGTGCCATTTTCATACTGTACTGCCTTGCTTTCCGATTTAAAAGTGAAACTGTTGCAAGGAAATCACTGCACTACCAGCTGAAGCAATGTGTAAATGCAGAGACCAGGAATTCACCACTTCAGAGTCTGCTGTGTACTGTGTTAGTCCACCTTCAACTTTCAGGGCATGAATACAGGGACACTACAATTGGATTAGGTAGAAATTGTGTGAAAGTGGAAAGCACATTTCCTCTTGTGGGAGAATCTAGAACGAGGGAATCACTGTTTCAAAATAAAGGGTCACCCATTTAAGGCAGAGATAAAAGAGAATTATTTTCTCACAGTGGGTCATCAGTCTTTGGAACTCTTATTCAAAAGGCAAAGAAAGCAGAGGACTTGATTTCTTTTAAAGGCAGAGATAGATTGATTCTCAATTGTGCAGGAATCAGGATCAGTGTTAAGCAGGTTGGCTGAGAGAGGGCTCCTTCATAAAGAGGAGTGGACCAACATGAGGAGGACAGCAACTGTGGGAGATAAAAACTGAGGGAGAGAGAGCCTTCACCTTGTTTCTGCCTTTAAAAAGCTGAAATGTGACACCACAGGAAAAATGGCAGGTGATTTGTAGGTATTTGAGAGACATGGTTACAGAAAATGGGGACAAGCATTTGAAACAGAGGTGTTGAGGAATTTCTTCTCCCAGATGATAGTAATTGTCTGGAATTCTTTGCCCCAGAGAGTAGTGGAACCTAGATGACTGTAAGTATTTAGAGACGAGGTGGACAGACTTTTGAAATATCAGGGGATTGATGGCACAAGAGAGAAGGTGGGGCCTGGGCCAGCTCAGCTAGGAACTTGTTGAATGGTGTGGCAGGGGTGAAGGGGCGAATAGCCTACACCTGCTCCTATTTCTTATGTTCTTATGATTAACAAGGGTTACATGGCAATCTGGAGAGGGTGAGAATGTGGATTAATCAGATTACTACAATTTTATTAAATGACAGAGCAAGCTCAAGGGGCCGTGTGGTCCACTACTGCTCCTGATTCATACGTTCCTAACTTGGCTGGATGATTAGAGAAGGTGAGAAAGAAAATCCACTAGACAGTGCTATAATAGTCATGCGATTATAAAGTCCATGCGATAGTGGGGAAGAAGCCAACAGCAGCAACTGGAACACCAACACACAGTCTAATATTCACTTCCACGGCTCACACTTTTGAAACAGAGACACCAAACCCTAAAGACTGGAATGTTGCTGCCTTACCATCAGAAATTTGGGAGCAAGGGGGGAAAATTAGTAAATAAATCAAGATAACTTACATTTTGATGAGTTACAAAATCCAAGCTACCTTTTGTTGACAGTTTTAAGCCAGTATATTGTTTAAATACACACTGAACTACATGTTCAAAGCTGCTGACTATGGATGGTCTATTCCTAATGTCAAATTGAAGCCGCTAATTTTAATCTAATATTATTGATAGAAAACCATGGGGATGGGACCAAATGCCATTTGTTGACTGCAATGTAAAAGTGAATGGAGTGTTTGATCCTGTCAACCTCCTGGGAGATGAATTAGATTATTAGAGAAGCATAGAAACCCTATGATGATAAATTATCCCTAAATTGTAAATGACCCCTTACATTGTTAAAAAAGCACACTACAGTGAGGGGTCTGGAAACAAGCCAATCAATGTTATCATCTCTTACAGGCATCTTTCTACTGTTAACTGCAGCCTGTTTTCTGCCCGAAACACTTGACTGTTGCAGAATTTTGGCACTATCTCCAAGATCAAATCTGAATGTTTTACATGTTTGCACTATGTTTTCACTTGTGCTATTGTTACATAGTTTTTAACCTGCTTATTTTGAATGTGTTAATTCCTATGTAAAGATTGTGACCAGATGACAGAATATGTGTTTGTGCATGCATGCAAAATCTTCACAGACAATCATGTCTATTATTACACCATTTTCACTTCAGACAAGAAGTGTAAAGATGAATCTTACGTGTAACCTCAACTGCTCTCCGTAAATAGGTTTTCCTTGCTCTGTAGTGGACAGTTGGTTCAGAGAGTTCTCCATCACTGAATGCATTCCTATATTTAACAAAAAATAAGGTGATATAGTTAATGAGCAAAACATTAAGGTTATTTGGTTAATTTAGCTCTAATCTTTACACATTTATGAAAAAAGTTATAAAATTGAAAATATTTCTGAAAAGAAAATGAGCTATTTTCAGCCAATTCCCAAGTTTCCTAGTTACACCAATTGTTAGATTGTGGAAGCTTGTCCAAACCTCAAACTGCCAGGAGAAATGGCACAATTTCCCATCTTTCTTGGGTGGGAACAGCCTGAGTTATATTCAGTACTCCCACTTAAGGGCATGACTGAGATTGGGAAACTCAGGTGAAGTTTGGGTAACTGAAAGCATCACCCCACATTCCATTATTCTACGGTACTATTCCATTGTTGTTCCAAGACGATAAGGTATTCTTGAATTGGTGCAGTAATGTCAGTTTGATGTCAGCAAGTTAGACGGTTGGCAGCCCAGTTCACATCCAAATTTTATTTTCTTCAACTCTCACCAGAGAACAACAGTAAAAGCAACAAAAATTTCAAAAGTATTACTACTCCAGCTAGCTCAATCTTTTCTGGCTGTAAACAAGAGGCACTCCTGACAGTATCAGCTGCTTCTGGCAATGATACACCTCTTTTATCTCAGCATCACTTACAGAGGAAGTAAAGGCAGTACAAATCATGAGGTTTCAGTCTAGGAAGCCACATAAAGTTAGGTCTCAAAAGGTCTTCATGCTGATGCCAGATCCCTCAAAGAGCTGCCCAATTAATTCCACACCATGATCATGTAACTTTCTCCACTTCAAACAATAAAATTCTATTTGGAAAGTTATAAAAAATTATTTTCAGAGAGTAGAATTTTCCACCTTTGGTAAAGGTTCTGCCACGCAACAAGCAGTGTTGGAGGTTATTCCAAATCCTATAGAAGACTACTCACTGCTCATAGTTGCTTGGTGCTCTAAAGCATGTACAGAAGTCCCTGGATTCTGTTCTCTGTTAAATCAATACATTCAAATGCAGTTGAACCAACATTCAAAATATACAGGGACGGTGGGGGCATTGGGCTCCAGAATAATCAAATTGCCTGCAAAGCTTCACTGATGGAGCCAACCAATTAGGGAAATGTCAACCCCCATTCCACTACAATTAGAATGGAAGGAAATGGCAAAGAGTTAATCCTCCAATCATACTCTGGTTGTCTCCCATGCTTGCTGCAGATTGACTTATTAGTGAGGAAAATGGATGCCAGCATTGAGGGAGTCGTTTGGGGAGACTGGAAGATAGAGGATCTGGCGAATCTGGAGGATGGGGAATGGCTCAAAGTCTGGAAGCTGGACAGGTGAATATAGCAAAGCTGAAAGGAGGTTGGGAGAAACAGGGAGGCTGCAAGGGCAGGGAAGGGAGAGAGACTGCAAAGATGGATCACTTTCAAACCTGTTGACAAAAGGAACACTCAGCTAACTAGGGGCTTGGAAAACTTGAAATCACCAAGCTAATGAGCTACTTGCAATTGCATATGCAAAGAAAATCAGTTCCAAGGAACCTGAAACATTAACTCTGATTTCTCTACACAGATATTGCCAAACCTGCTGTGTTTTCCCAACAATTTCTGTTTTTGTTGCAAAGAAAACATATTAGCTGTGACTTCCCCACTGTATGTGGTGACAGTTTTCGTGTAGAAGTATGTATTGATTTTATACTATTATCTAGGAAATTAATGCTTTCCTGTGTGTTATGGTTTTAAAATTAAAGGGACTGATAGTTATTGAGGATACTGAATTATTATAATTCTGTGAGAGTCCAAATATCCAATACGGCACTACAAGTCCGGAAATTGTTGTCACTACCTGATAAAGGAGCTAGTGAAAATGAAAAAGGTGTTCCTGAAAACCAAAAAGTAGACCCTGAAAGTCAAAAAGTAGCTTTGAAGAGGAGTCCATGTTGGGGGAGAAATGTTGTGCCCTGATGTGAACCAAATCATTATTTTCAGAATAATCAAGTCTAACTGAGGACAAGTTAGAGGGTTGATTTTAAAAGGGAAATTTTGCTTTAATGTCCCATTCTGAAAGTTCGTCAGTAATAGTTATTGACTGTAAATAGGCAGAAAAATACAGCCTAATGCCAAACTACACTGGCCCTTTTGATACCGGTTTCCTGAAAACATTTATTGTATCTCACACAATTGAAAACATTTGTATTCAGAATCCCATGTTATCAGAAATCTGTACTGTGAATAATTGTTAAACCTAACAAAAGGACCAAGTACATGATAACTAAAATAGCTGAGAAACTCATTGTGGAATCCTGATTTATAGGAACCCTAAATAGGTGGATTCACAAGAGTGTTCACTGATCTTTTGCCAAATTATCAGCAGAAGGAAGAGACTTCAAGCACATTGTCAGTACAAGTATTTATCTCAAAAGAGCAGAAAATGGAGTGGAAGGCTAGTTAACCTAACACAGCTCATCAATCTGATAAATGCATCAACTCTGATACCCCAAACTATTAATCCATCATTTTATTAAATAATTAGAGTCCAAAGAAGGGTTTCCTGAAATCTACCATTTCTTTTAAGAATCAACCTATTCAAATGCATTATGAACCACCTCTGGAGAATGTGGGACCTGCACCTGGGTTACCTGGCCTAGAAATGGGGACACTATCATTGTGCTACAATATTTCTCTTTTGTTTTTTTTTATATTCAGAAGTACTCTGACACACAACTGACTCTTTTTCCCACCACTAAATTAATTGTGATACTTTTCATCTATTATCAACAAGCACTAAATCACCCGTGTTTCCAATTGATTAGTTCACATGCCAAACGTGTTAAGGGCAATGGAGACCATCAAAGGCGAGGAACAGGTTGGGAGTGGGGGCTAAATCAAACTGCAATTAGAACAGGTGTGAATCTTCAATTATCCTGTTTCGATGTGTTATGACACACTTCTGGAACAGAGGAGCCTTGAACCCTGGCTTCCTGGCTTATAGTTAAGGATGTTACCATTGCACCACAATAGCCCCATGACATCTTGTTTAAGCTTGCTCTTTAACAACTTGTACCCGTACTCATTTGTCCTAGTCTCATGATTTACATTATGTAGTACTCTGAATATATATCTGTATATCTTACATACACAAAAGCACTTCAGTTCACCCTTGGGGAGAGAAAGTACTGGGTACATTTTACAAATTAGCTATTAAAATGAATAGTGTGAGAAATGGTTTATCTCATAGCTTCAAGGGATGAAATATAGCAATGGGCCAAGGCACAGGTTAAAAAGTAGAAGTACTTGTTCAAAATAACCTACCATGAAATTTTTTTTTGTTGCTAGATTTGTCAAACGTTTCAATAGGTTCTTCAACTGTGGAGAACCGGGGAAATGCAACATAATCACGATACACACCCTGGAAATTAACTTACAATGGTACCTGACTTGTTTTGAGCTGCTCATTGGCTAAAGCTGCTGGCCTTAAATCCTGTCCAGTCACAAAGGAATAAAGTGCAAAGCCCTGGCTCAGTCTCAGCTCAAACAACTTTGTCAATGTTTCCGCACCATCTGCTGGGAATAAAAACGACACCACGAAAGCAAACAGCAGCCTGGCTCAAAGTCAGCCCCGAGGTGGTGGCTGGGTAAAAGGGCAAAACTCACTCAAAACCATTGCTGAAGCCCGTCAAAAAAGTGATCAGCATGACATGGTACCTGAGAGAACAACATTTCAATCGATATGCTGTCCCAACTGCTGTAATAGTGCCTAGAAAATTCTCAAGGTGATGAAAGCCCTGGTTTCTCAACGATGCTGAGTAATAGCAAATTGCTCAGGCCACCGTTAAATATATTCACTCATTTGACCTCCATGGTTTAATGGACCTGTCAAAACGCCAACGTTTTAAATCGCGTTTCTCAGAATTCCGCTTGGCTGATGTCTGCATTGTGTCATTCTTGTTCTCATCACGGCATGAACAAACTGGAAAGAATCTTGAGCTGCCAGATTTTTGCACTAACATTTTCGGCTGGTCTAGTTTTGTGGGGTCAGTAGCTTTGACCGAGATACAGTTTGACACAACTCTGGGCTTTGAAGTTGGTTGAAAAAACTTATCCATATCTCCCAAACTGGAAGTGCGAGCAAAGTGGAAAGAAAATAATCAAGCATAAAGTTTAAAACTTGATTTTCTAGAACAACAAATGCCAGATAGGTCTATTAGATTCAGTTGGATGGTAATTGCAGAGTTCAAGTTAAAGAAATTGACGTATTTAAGGTTTAATTGTATTATAAACAGAAAGGATTCATAAAGCATCTTCAAGGAGGTAAGAGATGTAGAAGACTGGAAAAGTTCAGTGAAGGAATTTTAGAAATTTTGGACATAGGGTTGCTAAAGGGATGGCCACCAGTGAAGGGCAAATTAAAACCAGGGATTTTCAAGAAGCCTGAATTAAAGAAGTGACAATAGAGGGTTGGAGAAGATTATGGATTGTGGTATAATCTTTGTAGAAACTAACAACTGTTACAAAGGATATCTGAATTTCCAGTGATTGACTGGACTGAATGCACAACAAAATTACAAGTTTAAAAACATTTACTGCAATAAAATTAAAGCAACACTGACTAAACTCTATTTCAGGAGACAACCTACATTTTAAAGTATAGAAAAATGGCCCCATTTAACTTTTAAAATGACCCAAAATTCCCCTCCGGGAGTCTATATTACTCGGCCCAGGAACCAGTCCAAAGCCATTCCCTGCTCCTGATGACTTATTTGCTTTTTCCATTCCCAGCCGGATATCTTCGAATTGCAGAACTGACTTTCATGATGAGGGTTATGCGAGAGATTCTTCCCTCTCATAAAAGCTCGGCTAATCTTCCAGCCTTGTTTAAAATTTCACAACCTTCAATCTTAGCATTTGTTCCCACCACCATTAGGCTGCTTCCATCTCTCTGTTCTTTGGGATAAAGGTTAGCAGACTTAAAACAGATAAGGAGAAATTACTTCTCTCAAAGGGTCGTGAATCTGTGGCATTCAATACCCTAGAGTACAGTGGATGCTGGGGTATTGAGTAAATTTAAGGAGGAGGTAGACTTATTAGGTTAAAGGGTCATAAAGAATGGGCAAGAAATGGAGTTAAGCCGAGATGAGATCAGTCTTGATCATACTGAAGTGGCAGAACAGGCTCGAAGAGCTGAAATGCCTATTCTTACTCTTAGTTCTTACGCTCGTATGTTCTCTATCTCTCAACCTATTATAGACTGACCTCTCTAAGTGGTTAAGGGATAACTTAAGAAACCTGTAAACTGATATTACAACAGGTTGCTTCACCTCTCAAATCCCATTCCAAGAAAGTGGAGTTCAGGTTTAAATATCAGCTGTGATCTCACTGAATGGCACAGCAGATTTGATGGGGTGAGTTACATATTTCTGCTCTTATGTCTTATGTCTCTTCACACTTCTTTTTAGAAATGAGGATGTAAGGATTTAAAATAATGGTTTGGCATGGTGAAAAGAACTTTAGGGTTATCTTTGCATTTCAGGATGACACTTAAATAGTGAACAGGAATAGTAATGGGATCAGCACCTATTGTGCTTTTAGTGGTGCTGGAAGATTTGGTAATGAGCAACTAAAGCAGTAATTTGCAATGTCCATTCAAGCCTGCATCCCTTAAGCGTGAGGAACACATTGGTGAGAATGGTCAGGGTGAGAAGTAATGGTTTCACAAGAGACTAGGGTATTGACAGTGAGGTGAAAGTATGCTTGAGCAGATCTGTGGTTGTAGAAATGCCATGCTGAATGGAGAGCCAAAAGCTGAAGAGTTTGAAGACACAGTTGTAAGTGAACTAGGAACGAGAGGTCCATGGGAAGATGGAATTTGGATGTAAAAAGACATCAGGAAATGATCAGGTATGGCCTCATATATGATTAATAACAGGAATAGTGAGGCCATGTGAGATAATAAAGTCAAGATAGTAAATGTGAATATGGGGGTTCATATTGAGGGAATGATAAACTGAGGTCAAGAAGGCAGTGAACTGAGAGAAGAGAGAGCACGATGAATCGAGGTGGAAATTGAAAGCATCAGCGAAATGCAAAATGACTCATTACAGAAATCGAGGGAGGAAGACAATAAAGAGACCTTGGTAAGAAAACGTCCATGGCATTTAGTGGGTGGTGGAGAAAGAGAATTTTATATGAGAGGGATGGAACTATCGAGATGTTCAGAGGCATACAAAGTCTCAAATCAGTAGGACTTGGACAAAATGAATTGATTATAAAAGCCATAGCATTACCAAGTTAATCTGAGCAAGACAACTGGTGTCAAGGTAAAGGGAGGTTTGACTTAAAGGCAAGGTGACATTATCCCTCGGCCTGATTCCCATCAAAGGTATGATGGTGGTGCAATCAAGCACAATAAACTCACAAATGGTATGGGTCTTAGCCACAAGCAATCAGAATTCTCCAAAGAGATGCAGAAGGGAACAATGATAGTTGATCCACATATGGTCTGGAGTAACGGTAGGCCATTTCAGCCCTTGAGCTGCTCCAAAAACTGAACAATGCAGGCTAATGTCTGACTCTTTGAAATTAAATTCTTGACTCTGCATATTTCACACATATTTAGCCAACTTAAGCAAATAAATCGACAATGTTACAAACAAATGAATTGTAACTAATCAGCACTCTAATAAGAGTACACAGAGGCAATTAAAACTTAACAAGAGAAAACATCCAAGAAAGAATGAGTAGTAGTGAATTTTTTAAATTGAAAACTGGATTTGAATACATCTCAAACAGAAGGGAGATGATGGCCTGGTGGTATTATCACATGACTATTCATCCAGAAGCCCATACAATGTTCTGGGGATTTAGGTTCAAATTCTGCCATGGCAGACAGTAGTTTGGGGGGGGAACAACTGGAAGGTGGGGGGAGACAATCTGGAATAAAGAGTCTAGTGATGAGTATGAAATTTTGCCAATTGTTGGGTTAAACCCCATCTGGTTCATTAAGGCTCTCAAGAAGTGAATGAATTGTGGCTGCTTTCTTTCCTTCAAAGTCGACTTCTTACCTACCTCCACCAGATTCTGAGAGCCTTTAATACATTCAGCAGTGGAGGATCCACAACTCTTTTGAGAATGAAACTACTTTCACTGGTAGGGTGTGACAGGAAGGAAGTATACTGGGGCATGACCTTAAAATTACAGATAAAACCTGGGTCACTCAGGGTTGATGTTCAGAAGCACTTTCACACAAGGGTAATGGAAATCTCAAACTCTCTCCTGCATAAAGGAATAGAGGCTCGGGGTTTGTGGGGCTGGTGGTGGTTAAGTAATGCTTCTCTGGTATTTAGGGTTACAAAAACCAAAGTTCTGATATAGATCAGCAATGAATAGTGAAACAGACTCAAGGGACTGAATCACCTATTCCTGTTTCTACATTCCATTATTTATTTTGGCAGCTTATAGTTAACATTTGAGTAAAGGATTATAAACTTGTTGCTGTAATGTCTTATTTTTAACATCTCACTACAAGTCTATCAAGAGAGGCAGGACATTCCCTGGCGTTGTTGGCAGTCCAACGGTTAATCTGTTTCTTTGAAACTGAAGCCAAATTTCCCCGGTCTATTCAGTAGAAATTCCTAAAATATTTGGCAATGGGAAAATTAAAAGGCATAACAGCATGACAAAATAGAAGGAAATCCTGAACATGCCATTCTGCTGAAAGCAGAAGTAAACAAATGGCCAGATTCTACTGTAACATAGCAGTGATCAGCACTTGCTGTAAGTTAGTGTTGCCCCCCAGCACTTTAGCTCCAAAATGGTTTCACCCGCAAAGTGACAGCAAGTATTGATTCAGCAAGGAAACTGGGCACTTAGTATCTGAGTCAGAAGACATTTCCCTAAACTTTCAGATTGAAGAATTAAGATAGAAACACAAGAAGGGCTGACCAACAGTCAGGATAAAATTAAAGGGCAATTCAACATAAAAAAAAACAAACGGGCAACATGAAAGGAATTTAATTGTTTAAAAAATGATATTTTTCAAAGTTCTCAAAACAGTTCAAAGCCCAGAGGAATGAAACCCCACAGCAAAGGATTTGATTGGCAGTAAGTTTTAAAAGGGTACTTAAATTTCTAAAGAGGAGTCTTGGCTTTCTACGGGCCTCTTGTACATATCCACAATCCTGTAAGGGAGAAACATTGTGTGCAAGGCTAAATTCTGACCTCTAATTATAACTTTATTGTCTCAACTTTTCTACAGCTTTTATGATTTAAATTGTACAAAAAATATATCGTTTTGTTTAAAGAAACGTGAGGTGCGGAGCAACACCTTGTTAATTTCTCTTTTGGGACAAATAACAAAAGGGAAAGAAGCCACTTACTGGAACTCTGAGGGAACGTTTCAAGCATTTGTTCAATAGATATAAGTACCACAAAGCTTTGCAGCTCAGGAGTAAACCACTTGGTCCATCATACCTACGTTGGCTCACAGTGTATCTGAAACCAATCCTGCTCTGTCATGTGTTATGAAGAGATGTGATTCAAATGTTACTTATTTTAAAAAAAGACAAAAAGGATCCACATAAATATGTCTTGAGTTTTTTAACAAAGGACACTTTGTTAAGGAAAAGTTATTGGGTATAACAGGAACAGTGTTGTAGCTGCAAGGAGCAGGATAAAATCTTACATTCTGAAGAACTTTCAGAGTGAGGCCTAATTTGAGTGTGGGATTTCTATTTCTACTTTTGAACTTAGTGAAAGAGATTTTAAACCTGACATAACAGGTCCAGCTCATTGTTCCATTTCTCTTTCTTTGCAACTCCTCTTAGCAAATTATGACAGTTGAAACCTACTGAAAGCAATCTTTACCACTTGGGGAAAGAGTCCCTAAAAAGGACTTTCTTAGTAATCTATCCTATCATCTGAAACAAAAGCAAATCAGCTAAGTACAGTTGCTCCAAGAATACCCCAGTACCACAACCCTGTATGTGAAGAGAATAACTTTGGAACTTGAACACCATTTGGGACAATCCATTAACTAACCTCACTCACATGAGTTTAACTATGACATGGTCAAAGTACTCTAAAGTTAGCACTGTGCAAAGTTTTACCAAAGAGTTATCTCTTTGGATGTCTGTGCACATGTTAATTTCTTCGGAGTGTAGATATATACATTTGCATAATCCAAACGATTTGCTAATAATCTTTGTATCTTTGTTTGAGCAAGTTTATTTTTGGAAGTAAGCCAGTTATTTATTGTTGACTAAAGAAACCTTGTCGACTTGTTCTTAATACTGAACGTAGCACGGTCCAAGATCTACGTAATTGGCAAAATCAACCATTTGCTTAAATTTAAAATCTTTCATGACCAATGGAAGAATGGGACCCGAAAATGAAGCAGTGAACCCTTTTAACCTCATTTAAAACATAAGCTTTTCCTATAATCTACTTCCAGGTCAGTAATTTATCTACATTCCCATGATTACCATCATGATTATCAACTGTATTGATAATTACGAACTTTGAAAGAAGTTCAGATTCTAGTATCTTTTGATGCAAATGAACTTTTCAACAACATTTTCCCACTGTGCCTTACATTTTATAATATTATTATTTTACTCATGAGTCACAGATTCTCACTGGCATTTTAAAATATAAAGAACATTTCAATATAACCAGGAATTTGGTTTATCCTTTGCTTGTGGTCCAAGCTAATGCAGATTTTTTACAGAGGTAACTAAGAAACTACCAACACTGGTACCTCATCTGGGATGTCACTTCCATCTTTATTGGTTCCAAAAATCTGTGTGGTAGTTTTCGTTCACAAGAAATTTTCAGAAATGTAGTCAAGATTTTATATAGTTGCGAATACTGACCCAAACTTTGTCTCGGTCATCCGCTTTTTCATAGCTGCATATATGAATGCAACTGAAATAATTATGCCGCTGACACAAATAATTCCAATTAGCACCATAAGGGAATTCTCAGTATTACTGCCATCAGCAGCTACAGTAGTTGAGGACGGTGAAAGTATTATCTCACCTGTAAGGAAACAAATAGAAGGGCAAATTAATTTCAGATGAATAAACAATTTATATCCAGCTTCTAACTTTTAGCTATGTAGAATTATGAAGCAAGTATTAATCATAACTGTGATGAGAAGGCCACTGTTGTACTCTGTTACAATATGATATGGTGCCTGGGTGCCAACTGCTAGTAAGTTGTTGTTGTGGTAGAGTGCTGCAACCAATTCAATGCCTTTCTAAAAGAGAGTTCAGTAGTGCATGGTGAAGGTGGACCACTGATACATTTCAGCAAATGAAGCTCTTCACTTTAATAAGATGTAGATTATTAAATTTCATTAACTATATGTAGATCACATCACGTAGGCATGCAAACTAGAGATAGAGGAGGCACATGTGCTTCCATCTGGAGACCATGGCAGCGTCCCACTGCTGAATGTCCCATTCAGTGGCTGCGTTATATACCAGAATGGGTGGAGCTCTTCCATATCCATAATATTATAAAACAGGACAATTTTAAACAGGGTTATGTTTTAATTTTTCTTCAACTTCTAGAAGACCACAATGCGAAAATAACCCGCATTTTTCTGTCAGCCCCGATACATAGAAATATCTGTTGAGTACTTCACAACAAAGCAATGACACAACAGTTCATGTAACGGGAAAGATTAATGCAGAGTGAATCAATGTTACTTCTGAATACACAAGATCTGACATGGTTTTTTTGGGTGAAAGTAGAAAGGCAACAAAGCATATGATACCTTCTCGAAAAACATGGAACAGATATGGCTGTAATAAGAGAGGAACAATATTCAAAAGCAAATCCAGCCAGGATGGCATTAAGTTTGGAAATGAGTGGGTCTCACAGGGCAAATGTCAATCTTGTAAAGATCTGGAGTGTAGCTCATTTCCCAGCAGAATTTAACAGACTGCCATATCTATTCTGACGAGAAAAGACTGCAGTTCTCACAGACTTCAATTTTAGATTCACTTGGAGGAATAGTCAATGATCTTGATTTAGGATCACTCCTAAATTTGGGAAAAAAGACCTGAATTTAACAGAGAAGAGAATTAACTACTCATGTTGTCCTAATTGATACAATAGGAAATCAGGACTTCTTCGAACACAGGAAATTCAAAATAGAATCAGTGACTTGCATGTCAGTCAGCAACTCTTGTCGCATTGATATGCTTGATGTCTTTGGGCAGCCAAATATGTGAACAAGATTGCTTGTCACCAGTGCCTCTTAGACCTTCCAAGTTTGGTATTGTAATTCAGCAAAACTGATATGGGGCAACACATCTTATTGTCAGACTGCAAAATCCAACAGACTCACTGCCCCACAACTGGATTTTTATCATTCCTTTTCTCCAAGTTGTGTATGGGACACACAGCCTTCTCCAAGAGGTTGGATGGGCACTTGGGAACCTTACTGCACTGGATGGGAAGAGAGGTGCCTTAGGCAACCATTAGGAGATTCCTGTATGGAGGTAGTCAAGTCCGGCTTATAATTTCTTTAAGACAGTCATACCAAGCATCAAGACTTCACTCGTGGGGGAAATCTGGATGAAGCCACCAGTTATAATTCCAACAGACTGAACTGGTGATTGTGCCACTTTGAAGAAGGAAGTTTTAAAAATTGCAAAGTCAGAACTGCCCTCAGGAGAATGTTGAGTTAATGGCTGGACGAGATAAGCCAAAATTCTGACCTTTGCTAATCCTAACAAAAGTATATCCACGTTAAATTTTGCAGCCACTCTCTTTCATTCAAATAATCCCAACTTTATTATCAGATTTGTGAAAAAATAAAAAAAAATTACTTAGTGTTTTGGTTGTTTACACTGCATGCTTTTCAGTTAAAATTGCTCAACAAATATTCATGTTAATTGACTGCACTGACACATTCCACAACATAAAACAATAAATACCATTGCTCCCAACGAACACGTTTGTTGGATCACTATAAGGTCCAATTCCAGCGCTGGTATATGCTGCCACTTGTATGCTATATGTGACATTTATTGCCACAACATCAATAATACCTCGTTTAGCTGTCTGATTGCAACACAGTTTAAGTGGCTTTCTAACCTGGAACATAAAAAAGACAAATAAAGATGGTTTAACAATTAACGTACATTGCAGGAAATACATTGAGATTCTAAAGATTCTTGAGAACTTATATAAAGTAGGAAAGTGGATTCTGAAAAACGGCAAAAGATAGGACATTGTAGGTAAGTTTGGATAAAGAAGGTCTTTTGATTTCTACCTTCTAAGATAAAACAACTTCTACATATATAGCACTTTAACATAATAAAATATCACAGGTGTTCTACAGGAGTATTATAAAACACAATTAGATGCCAAAGTCTGGATGGTAATACAAGGGCAGATTGTCAAAGCTTGGTCAAAGTAGTAACTATGAATGAGTATCTTAAAGAAGGGAAGTGTGACACAAAATTGGGGAAGTTTAGGGAGGAAATTCAGAAGTGTGGGGCCTAGGCAGATGAATACATGGCCATGAAGGATGGAGCAAATAAAATCAAAAACTATCAAGAGGCCAAACTTGATGAGTACACCTATTTTGGAAGGCTGTAGGGCTGGAGGAGATTGCAGACATAGAGAGGCATGAGGTCATGGAAGAACTTGAAAATTAGATGGAGTATTTTTTTTGTTCATTCACAGGATGAGGGTGTTGCTGGCTTAGGCAGCTTTTATTGCCAATCCCTAATTGCCCAGAGGGCAGTTTCAACCACATTGTTGTGGGTCTGGAGTCACATGTAGGTCAGACTAAGTAAGGATGGCAGTTTCCTTCCCTAAAGGACATTAGTGAACCAGATGGATTTTTCTGACAATCAACAATGGATTCATGGTCATCATTAGACTCTTAATTCCAGATATTTTATTGAATTCAAATTCCACCATCTGCTGTGGTGGGATTCGAACCCGGGTACCCAGAACGTTATCTGGGTCTCTGGATTCACAGTCCAGTGACAATACACTAGGCTATCACTTCCCCAATATTTCACAATCGATGAATTCCTTGATTGGGAGCCAATGGATCAGCAGCATGTGGGAGAAGTGTGTGTAGAACTTGGTGCAAGGAAGGACACTGGCAGTAAATTCGTGGATGAATTCAAGTTTATGAAGCCAGGCCTATCCATTTCCTATTGCAGCTTTAACAATTCACCTAAAGGATGGTATGTCTGACAATGCAGTGCTAAATCAGCAAACTGGATTACACACCAAAGTGCAGTGGGATTCCAAAACCTCCTGATGCAAGGGCTAAAATTCAGGAAAGAGAGCATCCAAAGTACTAACAGAAACAAATAAAATTACAAAGACAAGTTATCTCAAACAATAGATTGAATGAGCACCTGAAACTGTTTTCTTGTAAGTAAAGACAAAGAAAAGCTGAAGTTGAAAAATGGATACTTATTGTATACATTATACAATTGAGAAGTCAAAGCCTTCCTTTTACACAAAAATCTCAACAATATTACTCCAATTCCTTGACATCCTTCTCTCCCTCTTCCACTGACATAGCATCAGAAACAGAACAATTTAATATACATATTTATCTGTCACCACTGCAGACAAGCAGAACATGTCAATCACGAGATGACGGACATTATTTCCTCTACAGAGAAATGTATTTTACTGAGATATGGGTCAAATGCTGGCAAATGGAACTAGATTTATTTAGGATAGCTGGTCGGCATGGACAAGTTGGACTGAAGGGTCTGTTTCTGTGCTGTACAGCTCTACGACTCTTATATATCACAATGATTAAATTGGAGCCAAATAAATTAGAAATGCTGACATTTCAATGATACTTCAATGCAATACTGACGGACCTCTGCACTGTCATGGAGTGGCTTCTGCTGAGATATTAAAGGACGAAATAAGGTTTAAAAGTGATTGGAAAAAATATGCTGAACACTATTAAGAAGAACAACCATGTGCTCTTTTATTCTGTGCACATGGGATTCTGGTTTGGCCAGCATTTATTGCCCATCCTTAGTTGCCCTTGAGAAGGCGGAGAAGGCATTTTGAACCAATGCAGTCCATTTGCTTTAGGTAGATCCACAATGCTGTCAAGAATGGTGTTTCAGGACTTTGAACCAGTGACACTAAAGGAATGGCGATATATTTCCAAATCAGGATGGTGAATGGCTTGGAGGGGAATTGCAGGTACTGGTGTTCCCATGTATCTGCTGCTCTTGTCTTCTAGATGGAAATGATCATGAGTTTGGAAGGTGCAGTTTAAGGAGCTTTAGTGAATTTCTGCAGTGCATCTTGTAGATGTACACACTGCTGCTATTGGTGAAGAGAGTGAATGTTTATGGATGTGGAGCCAATTAGGTGGCTTAACTTTGTCCTGGATGGTGACAAGCATCTTGACTGTTGTTGGAGTTGCACTCTTTCAGGCAAGTGGGAAGTATTCCATCACAATACTGACTTATGGCTTGTAGATGGTGGACCAGGATTAGGAGAGTCAGTAAGTGCAGGATTCTTAGCCTCCTACCTCCTCTTGTAGCTACAGTATTTAAGTAGCTACTTCGATTCAGTGTTTCCGGTCAATGGTAACCTGCAGGTTGTTGATAGCTGGGGGGACTCAGAGATGGTTATGCCATTGAACACCGAGAGACGATGGTTAGATTCCCTTTTGTTGGAGATAGTAATTTTCTGACACTTTTGTGGCATGAATGTTACGTGCCACCCATCAGCCCAAGCCTGGATGTTGTCCAAGTCTTACTGCATATGGACATGGATTGCTTCAGTATCTGGGAAGTCACAAATAGTGCTGAACATTGTGCAACCATCAGCGGACATCACCACTTCTGACCTTATGATGAAGAGAAGGTCATTGATGAAGCAGCCACAGATGGTTAGCCTGAGGAACTCATGGCCCTGGGATGACCAACCTCCAACAATCACAATGATCTTCCTTTGTACCAGGTAAGATCTGATGAGCATAATCCCTCAATCAAGAAATGATACTTTATCTCTCTGCCATTTGTGGGATCTTGCTGTGTATATTAGCTGTGACTTTTGCTACGAATGAGCAACTATACTTCAACACACAGTCCATTGGCACTTCAAGGATCAAAATTTACTCTGTTTCAGAAACAATGCCATGTTCTCAGTAGAGCAATCTACATTTTCAAGTTTATTTTCTTACCTGCTGTAGTTATTTTAAGGTTTGACAATATTATTAGAGCTGGTTGCTGAATAAACAATAAACTTTAAAAATTATGAATAATTGTTTTGAGAAATATTTTGCAAACTGTGAAACAGCAGATAGCTACCATTAAGTTGGATCACCTGCGGACTTGCCAACTGATTATTCAAAAATTTGACTTGACCACACTTTACCAGTTAACAAGTGTTCACACATTAGCAGATGTGGAAATATTTCATGAAAGTATGTATTGTCATTGAAGTTCCAAACTCATTACTGCGATTTCTTGTAAAACCATTCAGAACAGGCCTCAATTCCAAGTTCTAGGCACAATCTACATCAATTGCAGACACATAACCAGATCTTTCTGCGGTGCCTCACTGTGATGTTACGTATAATAATTCTCCATTATTGAACATGCAGCATATGTAAAGGTACAGCTGCTGTGATGAGTGTGGGTTCACTCATCAATATAGCAGCTGCACTTACTCATCACTGATTCAAGTTAGCCAAATTGACTTAACAAACTTCACTTAATTGATAACATTGTGTTGCTTACCGCTGTGATACACAGGACATTAATGACTGTTTTTGCAGGCATAATAGAATGTGGAGTAATTTTAAGATACTTCAAAATGATTACATATTATTCAACTGTTGAATAGTTAATACAAATATTACTTAGCTTCCCTGAAAGTCTGGTTTGCAAAGGTCATACGACAAAACATGTATTTGGTGTCTGAACAATGTTCGTATTAAGGAAATTAAGCAGTTTTTCAAAAAGTCACTTGCTGATGAGTCATCTAACTCAGTTCCACAAACAGCAGCTGACAGGCAGGCAGAATACATCTTGATAGGTGCTTCCTGGAAGCTCAACCTTTCATAACAAGCAACAAATTGCCTTCTGCACAGAGTGACATTTAGTCACAAATTGAAAAGCCTTCACAACATTTCTGCTAGAGATACAAGACTGATTATTAAGCGTACAATATGCCCATTCACAAGGGTTCCATTATGTATGAGTGTTGTCCAGTTTAAAACCTTTGCAAGCTGTCAATTCTGCTTGCTGAAAGTCTGCTGCACATTACTACACAGACACTAAGCCCACGTCTGAAGGATTACTGTTTAAGCGCCAGGGTGAAAGAATTTCTGAAGAGTAAGTTTCCGATCAATGCTGCTTATGCCCTTTTTATTCTGTATACTAGTTACAAAACAATAACGAAGCAAAATCAGTCCATTGTACTAGCTACTCTCTTGTTAAGCAATGTAACATTGATTTAGCTTTCATATCCCTGCCCCCTCTCCTCAGTGGATTTTACATTACATAAATACATAAGTAGTTGCTTTCCATAAGACAGCAAAACACAAACATCAGACATTACAGGAGATTCAAAATAAGTAACAAACACATGAAATTTCACTGGGTAATATCAATCACTACTTTTAGGGCTTGTATCAAATTATTTCCATTATTTTTAAGGAAGGAATTATCCTGATTTGATTTGATTTATTGTTAGTATGTGAAAAGTTCGGTTTTGCATGCAGTACAGGCAGATCATAACATACAAGGACGTGCTAGATCATAGGGTAATTGAACAGAACGAGGCACACAGAGTTATGGCTGCACAGGAGATACACAAAAGCAAGATCAACATTAGATTTGAAGTAGATTTAAAAGAACATTGTTAGTAATTTTTACGGACTTAGAATTGAGGTTTAAAATTGCGGAATGATTGTAAGAAACGTGAGAATAAGATCTGCTGTAGGGAGCTCGCAAAGAGTTGCCGGTGTCAAATCCACTGGTTTCTTCCTGAAATAACAGATGGTTATAAAATTTGTTTGCATAACAAGTGTCTTTCCATTGCCACAAGGACCTTTCGGTTCCACGCTTGGACATCTGTGATATGAATCTTACCGGATACCATTTTCATGCATTACCGGGGTGTGTGCCAAATATATGATGAGTGAGGAGATCATGGTATTCAGTCAGGGCATGACGCTGCAGCCCACTACCATTTTTGACCTCTGCGCTCTCTCTAGCACCCTCGCTTAACCTTACACAGCTGAACATTCATTCAGGATATTACAGTGATCATCAACTACTTTCATGTTAGTTACCAACTGATTTCTACTAACTCTGTTCATGTTAGTTTAAAAGTGTTGAGTTTTCTACAGCCAGTTAAAATTGTTGAAGTTGTGGTATTGACCTGGTAATTGCTTTGGTTCAGGGGTGCTGATCCTACCACTTGCCTCTGGTCACAGATACCATCCCCTCTACCCAGGGCATGACAGGAAAATTGCACAGAGGCAACATGGAGGAGGATCAGCTCCTCACACAGAGATGAGGTGAAAGGACAGAAGGATTCTCAGCAGAAGGTCCTTTCAGAGACTTTAGCAATCAGTACTGTGCATGTCTCAACTCCATTTTACACAAGTGGGTGCTGCATTTGAATTTAAAAAAAGATGTACTGCAAAGGGTTGTATTCCATGAATGTTCGGCTGATCTGTGATCAGGTACAACATGTCATGCAGGTGATTACTGGGTATTAAAGCAGCAGTCATTTGTGTCATCACTATTTGAGCCACCAACATAAACCATCTGGTGGCTGTTAGATTCTGCAGCCATGCTGCTAGCTCTCTATGCCTGTATGACAATAAGCTAGGCTTGCATTGCTTCAGCCTCCATCCAATGGAGATTGAGACTTCAGCTGTCAGACCGTGATTTGGTTTGACAATGTTATAAATGATGCCAAGAAGCCACCAGACATACTCCAGAGATAAAGAGGTCAGCTGATATTCATTGGGGCATATGTTTACATCTGGGCTGGATAGGTCTTGTGCCATTGCAGTAATATACCGACCTCTAGGCTAGAGTCTCATCTGGGATCAAGTCTTACCTGTCCTAGGGTATATGTCATTATATGCTTGAACAGCTTGATTAAAAAGAACTGAAATACTTCTTTTTTTTGCCAGCAGGTGTCATTGGTTGGGAAGGGGAAAGAGCTGGGTGGAGTTTGTATTGAAGAAATTCAAATGAACAATCAAGGAAAACAGACTGACCCCTCCTGCTCAGGTAAATGGATACCAAGCAAGTTAACTGGGTCTGCAAGTCTTCTTGTGGATTGGCTGTCACTTTCATGATGGGAAGGACGGGTTCTGTGCAAGGCTTCTTGGCAAGTCAATACTGCACTCCTCCCTGCTCCTTGATTACGATGAGAGGTTTTGTGGCATGCCTGCCAATGCACAAAGCATTTTCATTGTGCAAGCTCATCAATCGTTTTCTGTGAGCTATTTCATTAAACTCTTCATCAGTGTCCTCCTCTACAGCAGGACCTGCCTGCAACTCGTCCTTAACCCCTACTGTGACTGTAGCTGATTTATATTCATGCCTCTTTGCTATCAAATATGAATAATGCCAGCTTTTGCTGGTGGCTGAGAGTGAGATCAACTGCATGTATTTTGTCAATGTCTGATTCCTCATACATTTGATACCATTGCCTGGCCAAGTGTTAATACTTGGGCATCTGAAAGGAGAAAGGTTCAACAACAGAGTTGAAACGAGGTAACGGTGGGGAGGAAGTAAGGGGTGCAAGCTTGTGAATCAGAAGAGAGATAAGGATGAAGAAGATGTGGCATGCAAGGAGGAGTAGATGGTAATATATAGTCATCCTCAATGGTTTTAGCCCTGCCCCTGGCAACAGACACATCTGTTCCAATGACAACGAGTGTCATCTCCTCAAATGGGCAAGGAGATCCAGTCTCCCATTAGATAGGTGCTGCTGCCTGTGTTAATGTGCCATCTTGCCTGGGAAGACAGAACTGCATGAGTGAATGTGCTGTAATGTTTTTGGACGACGTGTCTGTCATTACTAAATAGGTTAGGAGTCGCACAACACCAGGTTATAAGTCCAATAGGTTTATTTAAGATCACAAGCTTTTGGAGCAATGCTATGCGTACGTTATGAATATGAGGGAGCGATGAAACTGAAAGTGATATTGAGTCATGGCTGCAGGCGAGTGATTGTATCGAGGTGGTGAACTGAACACTTTGCGAGGTTAATGCTATGGCTGGTAGCAGATGGTAGTTAAAATTGGATTCATTGATGATAAGCATTAATGTGGAGTCACTGCACCTCTTGCCAAACTGCACTCAGTCTTTTGGGATACACTGCTGACACTGACCAACACTGCCACTATCTGCCCCTGGTCTTCACAGATATTTGTGTCTGGCCAGCCTTCTGGTCTGCTGTTGTGAAACAGCCTCTCTCTTTCCGCACCAAGGCCTCCAGTACTGCAAATCTGCAAGAACACCCTTTGGCCTATCCCACCGTTACCCTCTTCCTGCTCAGACAATTCCAAAACTGGCTCCAGAGTGCACTTCCCTTTTAACAGGCTGGCTTTACATAGTACAAGCATGAACATGGGCTGCTGGCTGAGGTCTGCAGCCACTCACAGCCCATGTAGTGCTGGGCTACAGCTCCTACTGTTTAAAATCAACAGGCATAACAAAGTTTGCAAACTGTTTGCATCAGGTTGAACAGGCCACCACAATATGCCCAAGTTCTTGAGCCTTGTCCAGTTTTGTCAAAGGGTCATCCGTATGTTAAAGCTAATGAGTTTATGACTCATATCACAGAGTGCGATTTCAGCCCAATCCTTTCAAATGAGATTTTTTTTTTCAATTTCATGTGCATTAAAACTACTTTCTTTTTTTTTAAAAAATGCAGTATTTGCTTGCATTCACACAGAAATGATATTGTAAAATGCAAATGATTCAACAATCAATCTTTTTGGTGTTTAGAAAAGACAAGCTTGCAACCACCATACCACACAGACTTGTGCCACCTCCTGGGGGCTAGGCTGTGTTATGGACTGCTACCTGAATAAACTCCATGACATTGATAAGGGAACAAATTTCTTCCCCCAAAATATCAAGATCCAGGAAGCAGCAATAATAAAAACAACAACTCAACGAATAACCCAGGGTTGCAATGTTTTTGGTTTGAGTTGCTGACATTCAGTTCTTTTTAGCGACATGAGGATCCAACAATGTGGCAAAAAGCCATACAAGATAAATAAAATAAGATTCCCTTTCACAGCTCAGTTTTTTCCAGGATGTCCAATTCTTACGAAAATGAGTCAATTCACAAAAAGAGGCACCAGTCGACTTATTGCAGTGACTCAGACATCTTTGGACTACTGTTGTCATATGATCAAGCAAGGCTGCTTTGTTTTGGTAATGATTTGTACTCCTTTGTTTTTAAATGATTTAAAAATACATGACAAAATGTCTTCAGCTGCAAATGTTGACATGTTTTTAATTCTGCTTGTACACTCATACATCCTTTTAAAATAAGAATGGACGCTGATTGTCAGAACTTGTCAGCTCTCAAAAAGCATGCAGCTGCTGAAATGAACAATCTGACCCAAAAGACAAGAAACATTGGGAAAAATGCATGCAACTGAACCAAAATACAGACAGAGATAGTAGGAACTGCAGATGCTGGAGAATCCGAGACAACAAGGTGCAGGGCTGGATGAACACAGCAGGCCAAGCAGCATCATAGGAGCAGAGAGGCTGACGTTTCGGGCCTAGACCTT